AAAGAGGTCTTTCCCTGGAGATGCCTGGTAGAGGCTTAACGGATGTCTTGTGCAGCCAGCAATGTAACTTCCCGGGAGTTTCTAACAATCACAGATAAGAGACGGTCGTTATGGAAAGCTCTGGACACTGTCAGGGTAACGAGCAAGTGGGTTTTGCTCTGCTAACGAGAAGCTAATTGCTGGGCTCGGCCATGGGGGATCTGTAGGCACCAGAGAGCGGCGTGGCTGCGCTCGCCTTGGACGTCAATGAACAGAGTGTTTATTTGGACATCTGAAAGGTCAATTTGCTAAAATGCAAAACAATCGCTGGCGTGACTGGCTGGGACTGTAAATTTAGAGTGGGAGGTGTTAGCAAAAACTGGGACTCATTCAAGGACATCCCAACAGTGCCCCAAAAGCCATGATTTCATACACCAAAATAATTCTCCCAGGGAAGAAGCTGTCAGAGGCGGTTTGGATGTGTAAGCGTCGTGGCCCGCAGCCGGAGGGGGAGGACCACTCTGCCCTGCGTGATGGAGCAGGTGGGAACTAGGCAGGAGCCTGGCCGGCATCTGGGGTGGAGGGAGGGAAGCTGAACGAAGGCCGAAGTGTTTATTCTGTTTCGCTGCCTCAGAGAGGGCAGCGTGCCTTTCCCTTGTCCTTATCCTCTTTCTTCTGCTTTGACCATGCATTTTGGAGGGGTGACTCATGCTGAGCAGCCAGAGTCAGGTGATGGGAAGGCTGGTGGTGTGGAGCAGAGTGGCCCTCAGGCGAGAAAAGAGACCTTGGTGGCATCTCCTGGGACCATGGGACAATGGTATCTGGTGAAGACCTCAGAAAGGATCTGCTCTTACACCCAGCAGAGCAACCATCCTCCTGGCTGGGCTGCTCCATCCCACCAGAGAGGTGTGATCAGGCAAGCAGAGCCGTGGCTCAAGCTCTTGTCCACCTCAGGAAGGGCTCTGGCCGGCTGGCTGTGGACAGACACAGGGGCTGTCACTCCCATCGGTTGTTATTGAGCATCAAAATGGTGCAATTCAGTTTCTCAAGACCCTTAAAAATTGGACACAGCTCTGCTGTAGCCTAGGAGAAGGTTGTAGGTGCGGCAATGAAATATCCAGGGTTAGCATTTCAAGCAGTGTCTGCCTGGTCCATGGGATGCTCCCATCTGTCCTGCCATCTCTTATGCAGAGCAGGCGGGAGACATCTCCTCCTGCGTGGAGAAGGCTTCCTGCCAAGAGCCTAGGATGCGTTGAAAACCAAGGTCCAACCCGTGGGCTGGAGAAGCTGGAGCACTCCAGGGAGGACTGGGAAAAGGGAGGGCTGCAGCAACGTAAAGAACTGCTGGTTAAAGTGTGCAGGTGGTAGAAGGGGAAGCCAAAGAAATCAACGAGCTGTCACTGGCTAATGGCAGTGAGAAGTCTTTGAAAATATACATTCAGGATGACCAAACCAAGCCAACCCCCAGTCCCAGCACTGCGCAAAGCAAATGGCATCAAACTGTAACAAGCAAAACCATAAGTATTCAATAGATGACTCCAGTCCATGCTTGGGTCAAAGCATAGAGACACGTTCAATCCTGGGGGGGTTAAGAAATTAACATCTGTAATGGAGGAGGCTGTGCAACTGCAGACCCACAGACCCAGTTAACTTACACCCTTGAGCTGGGAATGAGCTGCTGGAAGAGTCCCTGAAATGCTGACACTGACATTGAACAAGTCTTGGAAAGACAGGACAATATCAAGGGCTTGGAGATCTGTCAGGAGGCAGGGCTTGATGGCCCAGGGAGGGGGACGTGCAACCAGACGTGATGTCCGCTCATCATGGACCCCTGGTCCCACGGGCTGGGAAATGAACTGCAGGATGTGAGGCTCGGTTTATCCCGCTCACTCAGAGAAGCCTGGGAGGTGACGTGATCATTTTTATAGGTACTTGCACATAAAGATGTTTCCTGCTGGGGGAGGCTTTCGGGAGCGTTGACAAATGCATGCTACGGTCCACTGGCTGGAAACCTAATTTAGACAAATTCAGCCTTGAAACAAGCTGCAGTTTCCCACTCCTCGAGGGTCACCAGGCACTGGAGGAGATTTTTGGATGCTGGAAGGATTCACCGTTGCCTGGAGCTTTGGCGCTGCAGCGCAATATCTTCCGGCAAGCCAGGCTTTGGGCCAGCTTGTAGGAGAAATTCTCCAGGTAACCTTTGCTGACAAGGATCAAATCATGGTGTTCATCCCGTTCCTTCATGGCCCTTGTGGGGAACCGGCTGGTGTGCTCACGGTGTGCACAGCTTCTTGTTAAAGGAAGGTTTCTGATCAACCTCAGGGCTCCGGGCAGCACCAGGGTGGAAGACATGGAAACAGTGTTGTGGTTGAACTGGAGGATCAGGGACCATGTTGCAGCTCCCAGGGCTGGGAGGACACCTACTGTGAGCCAGGTCTGTGAGAGGAGGGGACACAGGTTGTCACCTCTCCACTGTCATGGTTCACATGCAAGGCAGTGCAGGCACGTGAGCTAAAGGGTGTCAGCTCTGGTACCCGAGCTGGGAACTGGAAGAGGATGGGAGTACCTGGGCCAGGTAGTGCAAGGCCACAGCTGCAAAGGAGAGGGAGCCATGGTGTCTGCTCACAAGCCACAGCATTGTCACATCGCTGAGAGCCACTCCAGGCTGTCCAACAGGACCAGCAAGACCATGCATGGAGGAGATTCCCAGAGCAGGAGCAAGTCCCTGCTCATGTCCCCTTCCTCCCTGGTGAGGACAGGCTGCTGAGAGGGGACAGAGTAGTTTTAATGGGGGAAAAAGGCTTTACCCTTTGGTAGGGGGTATCCAGCTAAGCAAAGGGTCCGAGTGCTCGCAGGAGAGTGCATCTGGGTCCAGGTCCAGCAGCAAAGAGCTGCTCAGGCCACAAGCCACCCACAGAGGACCATGAAACCAGGATGGTGGTGGACATTGGAAATGATACAGGAGGTAGATGAGGCAGTGCAAGGAATGGAGGATGCTATGGGATAGAGATATAAGCCACCAGACATGATAATACAGACAAGCGCCTGTCATCATGCAGCAGAGGTGCCCAGAAGATGGCACGGGCAGGATCAGGCACTGGGTGCTGCTCTTTTCCCAGAACATCCACCGAGTTGCTTGGATGCTTGCTGCCATGTTGCCCATCTGCCTGGGGGAATCCTTGCTGTCCTACCCCTGCCCGCTCCCTCCTCCTCTGCTCCATCCTACAGCCCGACCTCAAAAAGCAAGGGAGGATTCGCTGATTCTGTGCATCACCGTGGCTGGGGAACAATTTATGTCCATCTTGTGGGTGCCTCATCCTCCAGAAGCTCTGGAGAACGGGAGGGCTCTGCCCAGTCTCTCAAGAGACTGTTTCAGTGCCAGAATAATCCCGGGCATTTTGCCTGGTGCCATTTGCACAGCCTGTGCTTCGGCCAGTCCCCAGAACTGCCCAGTGCTTTATTTCTGTGGTACTCATTCAATGGGCGGCAGGGAGTGACAAAAATAGATGCTGAAAGAAGAAGCAGATGAGAAACCACATGCTGAAGGGGAGGGGATGTGGTCAGAGCAGCGCACTGAGCCCTGTAGGGCACTGTTATGGGAAGCTCACAGCACTAGATCACTAGCTGGCACTGAATCGCCCCACAACAGGGCGATGGGACTGCTTCCCAGTCTCCCTTGGGGATGGGACCAGATGAGCTTTGAGTGCCAGGGGATGGTACCAGCTGCTTTGAAGCTCTGCCTAGCTCCTGGGAAGATGTCCTGGCAGCACAGGAAGGGCTGGGAGTGGGACTGTGACTCTCCAGAGCTGTTTTCCTCCAGCCAAAGTAGGTGGTGGTCCCAGGGGACATGTGTTGGGGAAGATCTCCTTTCCCATAGCGCTGCCCAGGGTCATGAAAGGACTCCTGGGGCGTTGGGGTGGTGGTAGCATCCGTGCCAGCTCACCTGTGTGAACGCAGCCTCCCACTGTGCCCATGTCCCTGGCTGAGCGGGCTGTGCTACTCCTGACCTGCCGCTCGGCCTGGGATGGGACCTGGGGTGGTCTCGGTGACCACCCTGCTGAGACATCCCCGTGCAGCTCCCCAGGGCTCAGGCCAGGTGGCTCCTGCCGCTGGGCACCCTGCCCAGCCGGGCTGCTCTCGGCTCCGTCCCCTGTCCTCCCTGGGGAGCCAGCTCCACAGCTCCCATCCATCCCCTTCCAGCCCTGGGGAGAAGTGTCCACTGCCCGCTCTATCTCACTGTCTGGGAATTTCTCCTGAGACTTTGCCTGCATTTTGCTGTCCTTATTTGCACCTCTCTAGGCTCATTTATACCCTTGCATCGTCTCCTCTCCTCCTTGGTGCATCTCCTTTCCTCCGCCAGCTGCCGTCAAGGCCCCTCTTGCTCCTGGACCTCTTTTTGTGGCCCTGGGGCCATTGTCCAGCACTGGTGAGAAGGACCATCACCGCTCCCTGCTGACCCCAGTTCCAGGCCCAGTCTCTGAACCCACAGAGCTCCTTCCA